ACTTTTCCTTTAAGACGATACAATCGTTGCATCAGCTTCCAGCTTTATTGGAGACTAAACATAGAATTAAAAAGTCCGACTAACCAGATAAATGATGTTTCTGTTTTTATCTGCACTGCAGTGATTGGGATATAGGCTGTGTTAACTGTCACTGATGTGTAACCTGCTCATTAACTAAGTTATCCTTTTCTGCTTCATTTGGCGTCTCTTTCATGCCGCCATGTTTGACTTTTTTCCTCTTCATGTTTCTGTTTTTGTTCCTGACAGGAGAAATGTGGCGCTCTCCCTTCTGTGATTGGTCTGCTCCCTTCAACCCGCCCCTTTATAAAGGCGCGTTCACAGATTCCTGATCAGTCAAAGCTGGATTGACTTAGCGCAGGCATCCCCAAACTCGGTCCTCGAGGGCCACTGTCCTACAGGTTTTAGATGTTTCTCTGCTCCAGCACGGCTGATTATAATTGATAGTTGATTAACAGGCTTTTGCTCTACTGCAATCATTATAATCAGCTGTGCTAAAGCAGGGAAACCTCTAAAACCTGCAGGACAGCGGCCCTCGAGGACCGAGTTTGGGGAAGCCTGACTTAGCGTGTTGATAACCAGCTTTATGGTACCACTGATCCTGATTGCCATCATTGTGAACTGGTTAGACTGGATAGACTGGGAGTAATCCCACTGCGTGGTACAGGCCTCTGCTTTTAGTGTTGTGTCCTGCTGTTTTTTTTTTTTCCTTCCACTCAGTTTTCCATCATTATACTCGGGTATAGAGCCGTGGGAACACGCTTGGTGAGGACACAAGGCCGTACTCGCATTGTTGTGAATTGAGAAAAGCAATTGAACTTGCTGAAGCAGTCTGTGCTTTGCTAACCTGCTGAAGATGACCATCACATCGGAGGAGGACAACCCGTCTCAGGATCATCTGAAAGGTTTATGTCAATCTTTTGCTTTAACCAAAATAATCCTACGTGAAAAATGATCATTTAGTGTTTCTTTTAAATGAAGTTTTGACAGCTAGCATGAAGCATCTTTCAGATCTTAGTCAACTGAATATGTCAGAAATGTTAACCCTCTTTCTGTTTGAGGAAAAAAATGTATGTTGATGGAAAATGTTTGAAAACTAGTTTGTGCTAGCTGTATTTTTTTAAATGCCCTGAAAATATGATTAGTCTATTTCGATATGTTAAAATCAATTCAATTCAGGTTATTTCTATAGCGCTGAGTTATAACACATGTCATCTCAGGTCACTTTCCAGTTCACCAGATCATCCAGTCAGATTGATTCAAAGTTTTTTATCTA